TTCTTCTTGTTTTGCACATTTGTTTGAAAATGAGATTCATTCTGCCTTAATTCTTTCAACTGTCACTTCGGTATTTTTCTAAAGAGGAAAGAGAGATGCTGTGATCTCTTTGGGTGGCATCTCCTGAATTATCGCTAACCTTTGACACCAAAAACAACCCGTAACCTATTCCTGTGCCAACTGCGTGGAGAAGGGAGATTTCTCAGGAAAACAAAGGGAAGGCAAGTTGAGAGGCAGGAGACAGGCTGCTGAGGTCCTGGAATGTGAAGGGTGGGCTGAGGAACAGAACCGGGAATAGGGGATCAGTCTGGTTCCTGCCCTGCTGCTCTCTTGGCCTCTAACCTCAGGCAGATCCTCGCTGATGTCTGTGCCTCATTTCCTCTTCTAAGAATGGGGATAACCAGCCCTCCCCTTTCTCCAGTCTCCCTGCTGCTTCAGGACATTGTGGTGAAGAGCTTAGGAAGTGCGACACTGGAGGGGATTTGTAAAAACACGTCAGGGCCTCCTGTCTCATCGTTGGCCCATCTCCTGCGGTCATGGCTGAAAGGGTTTTGGGGCAGACTGGCCTCAAATAGGGAAATTTCGGTGGGCTTGTTGGGGGGGTTATTTCCTCTGCCTCCCTTGGAGAACATCTAGGGGTGCCCCCAGCTCCTCCCCACATGGCCCGAGACCGGCTCTCAGGCTTACAAGAACAACTGGGCAGGTTCAAGTTTCAGCATATAGCAAGCCCGCCTCAGTAGTGCTGAGGGCATTCACAGTGACGCCAGCCCGGGGGAGGGGACAGCAGGGAGGTGCCGACCCCAGGCCTTCAGGCCAGGCAGCTCCAAACCTGGCGGAGAGGAAGGAGCTGACACGTTGTTAACTGTCCCGATCCCAGGAGCTGGCCTTCTTGCCCCCTGTTTCCCTGCCCGTGGCTGAGTGCTGGGTCAGGAGAGCCACGGCCATGTAACTTCCGTTTTCTCTCCTGCCTCAGCCATGACAGAAACCATCGAGATCCCGCAGTTCATCGGCCGCAGCTACCTGACCTACGACCACCCAGACATCCTCAAGAGGTAATAATACGTGTCAACCGGCAACAGGCGCCTTATCTCTCTGGGGGTAGATTTCATAATAGTTTTCCCAAGGCTTTTCCTTATTTTATGAGCCAGAAGATAATTCTCAAAGAAGGCCGTTTAGCCATGGCCTCGGGGGAAAACAACCACACATCATAAACATAGAAACTAGAACAAAACAAAACAAAAAAACAAACTTGAAAGAGGCAGCCTTTCAAACAACCCAAACCCTACCAAGGAGGTTGCCTGGCCTTGGGTTTTCCAGTCCTCACATCTCACAGTGCCAGGGTTATGAGTGATTCCCCAGTCAGGGCAATCGATTTCAGAGAGGAAGAGAGAGAGAGAGAGAGAGAGAGAGAGACATCAATGACGAGAGAGAATCATTGATCAGCTGCCTCCTGCATGCCCCTCACTGGGGATTGAGCCTGCAACCCAGGCAGGTGCCCTGACTGAGAATCGAACTGTGACCTCCTGGTTCATAGGTTGATGCTCAACCACTGAGCCACACCGGCTTCATGCTGCTCTTGACCAGGGCCTGACGCTTTGCTGCGAGCTGCAGCAGAGGTCCTGGTGCTCCCACAGCTCCACGGACAGTGTCCTACTTCCCATCTTCAGCAGCAAAGGTCTATGTCCTCCGCAGCCGGCCAGCTCAGCGAGGGCTCCTCAGCTCTCTTCATGTGGACAAGGCACACGGAGGTGCCCAAGTCACCATCCTGGCTGGTAGGCCCTGGTGACTGAGGCTCCAGTACCCCCCCTCCCTCCGGCTCGTTCCCCTCTCCCCCCCTCTTTCCCCGCTGCCAACCCAAGCTCCTGGTGTGGACTAGCCTCTTACGTAACCATGGAAGGCTGGCCCTTGGCAAGTCCTCGACCTGGAGAAGCTCGTCTTTGGTCCTTTCATGTTGCCTCTTCTTTTTTTCTCCCTCCCCTCATTCTCTATAGTTTCGAGTCTGCCATCCCCCACAACACCGCCAGCACCATCCTCGAATTTTCCTTCCTCTTCAGGTTGACTGTTTCCTAACAGGCTAAGGCAACGCTTTAAGCTAAAAGCACCCAGTTTGTAGGGTGGAGGTGGGTGGCTTTTCAAGGAACAAAGTTGAGAGACGTTTTCCTGGGGCACTGGATGAGCATTTCCCTGGTGACTGAAGCCACACCAGGCGGGCGGCCATTGCTTCATTTCTCTAGTCCCAATAGGGATCATGTAGGTGGTCGTGGTGGGGCCTTAGGCAAGATGGATTTCCACCAGGAGACACCCTCTTCTTTCTTCAGTCCTTTTCTCCAAAGATGGAAGGACATTCAGTCCCCAGAAAGCAGGGAGGGTGTGAAGGGGCCCAGGTCATCAGCCCCTGGATGCTTAGCGAGTGGCACTGGGCGGCTTGGTGGGAACAGGAGGCACTCGGTGGCCCTTGTGCACATGTATGTATGTGCATGAACACATGCATGTGTGTGAAGCCACAGGCAATAGTCGAGTTCAGGTTTTGGTTAGATGCCTTTGGCTGCAAGTAACAGAAAACTCAGCTCACAATGGCTTAAGCTACCTTAAGGGTGTTTATTATTCCACCTAACAAGCAATCCAGGCTTAGACTGGATCCTGGTGTGACTAATTTAGAGAATCAGCTGGACCATCAAAGACGCACGTCTCCTCTGTCCTTTGGCCTTGTTATCCTCAGTGCATTCTCCAGGGGTTACTCCCTTCCTGGTTATAAGATGGACATAAATCAGGCCCATCTCCAGTGGAAATGAAAAAAACAACCCTTTTTTTCTCATGTGACTCTTTTTAAAAAGAAAGGAATCTTTCCTAGAATCTTCCTGCTGCATTTCCTCTGTCTCATTGGAGAACAGCGGGTCACGTGCCCATCCCTAAACCACTCCCACCAGTCAGCGTATCCCAGGCGAGCGGGGAAGGCGGGAGCCTGAAACAGGAGACTGGGGAGAGCAGGCCTCTCGGGAAAGGGCCAGAGCTGGGGGCTCTGCACCTGGCCTGGTGGGGAGTCACCATGTGGCCCTGCTCCTCCCTTTCCGCTCTGAGGCCCCGGCGGGAAGGCAGCCTCGGTCTCCTGCCTCAGTCATGCTGGGAAAGCCTAGACAGAAGTCCCCTCCTGTTCACTACTAAGTGCATCCACAGCTCCAGGTTTGTGGGACAGACAGGGGATGGTACAAGTGACAGGAGAATAGAGAGACTTTTCCTATGGTGCCACGTTAGTCGCGATATTAAATCACGGTTACTCTTACTGCCTTTTACTTTAGGACCTCATACTTGCTCTTCTCCCTGCAAAACACTGGTCACTTTGGAGCAGTGGTTCTCAACCTTGGCTGCACATTATAATCACCTGGGAATGTTTTTACCATCCGGAAGTCTCACCACCCCAGCCCCCCACCGTTTAGCGATTTGTGAATGAATGTAGAGAAAAAATGTTTGGTGTTGAGGGGGGGCGCGGCGTAGCAGGAT